GTTTTTAGAAGAAATTTCACAGTTGGGGAAGGCATGCTAATTATAGGGGTTTTTGTTATTGTTTAAGCAACTCTCAAGTTTCTGGAATCTTCCACTTATTTTTGCATAGCTCAAACTTGTTCTCAAGGACACAAAATCACACCAGAAGCGCTAAATAAGAGGAAAAAGACATTTGCTACACAGACAACAATTAYAAAATGCTTTTTATAAAGTGTAATTATGTGAAATACCAGTTTATCAAACTTGGGAGGAAAATCAGAAAATAAAAACATAGTTTACTGTGGTTAGTTCTGTTGGAGCCTTTGAGAATAATTGTTATGTCAGGGACRAATTTTTGTATGTTTAATTACATGGATTAATCAATATTTCCTAAGGATGAAACATTTTTAAGAAAACATTGTAATAGCTTTACTGAATACAAATATTTAAAGTGTTATCTCAATTGTAAGAATGAACTGATCATTACTACTTTTATAATTAAAAATAGAATAATTCCGTATTATTTCATGTACCAAGTCCTTTGAATCTTAAAATGAGCAATAAGTAACTGTGTTGATCAGGAAAGTTTATTTTAAAATTAAGGCCATTCAGGCTGTATTAGATTTGGAATTTCAAAGTAATGGCAAATGAATAACCTTACTGATCGTGAGTGTTGTTTAAATCTCAAGGCAAAAAGTTCATATAATCATTCTGTATTCTGTTATAAGAGGCTAAAATAAATTTAAAAGTGTTTCACCATATAATAATTTTGTCTTTATCAGTTTATATCCTTAAAACAAATGTGCAGCCGTTTCACTAAAACGATTATGTTATAGAAGGCAAACCACTTGGATTTTCTTCAGAACAATGCAATAGCATAAAAGGTATTTCTAGAGAAATCCCTTGTGACACAGGGCTTGACTCCTCAGTTGCATAAAGCATCTGTAATTTAGCTGGAAGGAATGATGTTGGTCACCAAGACAACTTTGGTTATTTAAGGAGAAGGTAATCACCAGCCTCCAGGATCACACTTCAGACTTAGTTTTTCCTCTGATTATGTTTTGAATTATTCTCCTCTGGTTTTTGTAATGTCTCATTAACCGTGGTTGCAGCAAGACCTTGTAATACACATCTTAGCAAACACAGAAAAAATTTGAAGGTTGGACTTACAGTCTGAGTCTGGAGCTACAGTAATTTGCAAGAACCTTTGGTGAAGACTGAATCTGCAATTCCTGTACTTTCTCAAGATGCTTCCGATGCTAATGGTTCTTCTGTATTTAGGGGTTGATTTTGTTTCTGTGGTTCTCAACATKCTGAGAGGGAAAGAATCATAGACTGCATTCCTTATGTTGCCTTTAATATGGACACACGGGGTTTAAAAAAAAAAAAGCTACTTTTTTTAAACTTATTTCATTTTTTCTGGGATTGTTTTGATGTACTCTATCCRTGACCAGTTCAATGTGTTTTAATTTTGGAATTAGTTACATGCAGATGTAATTATGTTGTGAATTACAGTTGAGAAATGAACTTCCAATCAGAAAAACCGAACTTTCATAAAATTCTCACGATGTGAAATATTACTCTAAACATATAAAATTGAATGTTTAGAGCAATAAAACAAAGAATGTGGCATTTAAATAGGAACTTGTTTTTCTGCATGTCTTTCTATAACACTTGAATTCAAGTGTGAGTTTCATTGGCATGATTATCACCCAAAAAACTCAAAAAATTTGACAAGTTTTGCTTGCCAGAGGTTAACACTAGCAGTCTTATGAGCATTAGTGGACTTCTAAGTTGCAAAAGAAAATAATCCACAATAGCAAGTTATATTAAAAAAGAAATTAAGTCATCTAACAACTTATCACATAAAAAATACACTCAGTTTTGTCTGCCATCTTCTTCCYGGAGGCACAAGGGTTTGCATTTGCCTCCATTTTTCCATAAACTGCAGCAGGAAAAGCAAACATCTTACTCCACTCAGCCATATTATATGAAGTGATGGTTTTGGGGATGTCTTAAATTCCTATTTAACCACAGCAAAGAACCTGTTGTGCCCATTAAGTTTCTCTTTTCCTATRGTAACTTCCAAATTGATGTTCCCTTTCCCATCCTTTTCAGAGGAGATGATTTTGCTTGGTTTTATCTAAACTTGACAGTAAGGAAATGCTCATTACTTATTACTATTTACTTCAATTTTTTAACAGTAATACGCATGATCTTGAACCATCCCCAGTAAAGGCAGTCTGCATATTCTTACTTGGTTATTTATGTTTCTTGCTATTGATTACACCTCAGAACGGAATATTAACTGCTGAATGTCAGTATATTTGATACTTATTTTCTGTCCTTAGGAAAATTAAGGAGATAGTATAGGGCCTTTTACTTCAAAAAATCATTTCTGATGAGTTCCAGGGAGGAAGGGTTCATTGGTTGCAACTATGTGTGTAATGAAACACAGTTGTCATAGAATGTGTCCTTTGTCTATCACCTTTATTTTGTATTTTGAAGGAACAAATCTATTAGTGTCATGAATAAGTAAAAGATTACTATAGAATAAAAGTGCTGACACAACAATAAAACTTACTAAGAAAATATACTCGTGTTTGTTAACCAGAACTTATTAGGGTCTTAATTATAATGAAATTACAATTGGAGGTACCTAATGAAGTTAAGACACTTAGATTTTAATAAGTGTGCTTGAAAAAAAGTTGCATTTTCACCACATTGAATTTATTCAAAATATAAAAAAGAACACAGATGTGACCAATAATCATTGTGGTGGTACCGGATATTTCTATAACTGTAAAATTTATGTGATGTGTAGTTACTATGTAGTCTGTTAGATTTGCTTATTTTCTTTTTACCCTTGGTTTTTTTTTGGGGGGCGGGGTTGTGTTTTTGGTTTGTTTTGTTTGTTTTTCTCTAAAATGCTGGTTAGAACTTGTGGCTTTTCGGACACCTTACATTAAGGAGACAAAGGTTCTTGTACCTGAAATYTTTAATCTCATTGTCCTGAACTTCAGACTTAGGCTGCTTTCCATTTCAAACAAAATTTAGGTAAAGATGCGGTACTTGTGCAGAATCTTTTCACTAGGAAATCTCTTCACTAAAAAATCTTTTTTACTATCAAGCTGAACATTTGGGGATTTGAAGCGGGTAGGGTCAGAAGGCGAGCACATCCAAAGCTCATTTATTCATCACTGAAAAGTCACCAGGGAGCATCTTTGTGCCCTGTCCCTTTTAAAGAAGCCATTATAGCAAAGCATGAGGTTGAGAGAGCAAAAGGAAGTGAGAGAACTGTTGCATTGTACATTTTTAGCAGCATGAGTTAGGATGGTCCCTTCAGCCTTGGGTGCAAATGTCACAAGTGAATATTGTTTGGAAAGACAAATTACAGCTGCTCATAGCTTAATTGTCTGCTAAGGATGAATATGTACCATGTAACATTTTCTGAAATCTCTGTTACTGTTACAAAAATGGTAATGATCAATCACTCAAAACTTCCTAGAGACCAGGAGTTAAGAAGCAGCCTTTATTTTCATTTCTGTGCTCAAATGTGTATTTGTGTATTTATATAGGGTTATATCTACATATATATATATATAGGTTTATATTTATACCAGTGTTTATTACCAGATATTTCTTCCACGGACTTTTGGATGATTAAATCAGGTTGTTTTAGCTATTCTGAATCTGTGTATTTAGATACAGACTACAGACTTTTGAGTAAGGAAAAAGTAGTTTAGTTACCCGTGGAAATATTTGGGTTTTGCTGAAAGTAAATGTTGTGTTCATAAGACAGGTTTTGAGACTTCTCCATCTCAGTGTTCCCAGCCTTTTTATAACCTGGCTTCACACTTGAGAAAATTGACAGTAATTCATTTTTCTTTGGGAAGTTGGTAAATCCTTCCTTCCAAATCAGAAGCTTTAAAGGAGTATTTTTAAGCTGTTTTGAGAAATTAACTGTATTGCACAATGCATTGCCTGCCTGCATTGCAGAAAAAAGGACCTTGTCAGCAGTCCTTGAAGGTGGAAAGAAGATAAAGTGACTTAGATGATGTTTGGGAAATGGCCTTTAGAGTGTGTGATGGTTTGACAGTGAAGGAGCTGTGAGAGCTTGTGGTTGTCTGGCTGCCTTTTTTTTTTTTTAAAAAAAAAAAAAAAAAAGGCTGTATATCCTGAGTTTTTTTGGAATACACCAGGAGTTAAGAAGAAATGTGTGCTGATGCTCAAGGGACTGATGCCTGACTGGATGTTTTGAAGATGGGAGAAGTAGACAGGTGAGATTTGAGTGGTGTGATTGTCAGCAAAGCTGTSTACAACTGAAGTACTGTTCAGATTAGGGAATTACTCTGGGGAGATAAYGCACAGGGAATGGCCACAGTCACTAAGGCCTATCCACCTGGAATGATGCCAGAGTCTCCAAGGGACAGTGTCCCTGGATGATACTGTAATATAGCACTGAATTGAAAGGCCCTCTCATGAGTACAGAGAAAGAATTGACTTGCTGGCGAAGCTTGCTTAAGAAGTGGTAATAAAATACAAAGCTTCTGTTTCTAGTCCTGATCAGATACAGCATCATCCCTTACACCTTTGTTATAAGGCAGCAAATAAACCACWAACTCCTGCTTGGTGTTTGAAGAGAGAAGAATTTGGTAATCAAGGATACTCCTAGTGGCTAATCCTTCCATTTGCTTTGGGCAGGTGCGTAGAAAGTGTTCAAAATGTAGCAGTGTCTAGGTGAGTCCCAGGACAGATTGGGTAGGAGGTGGGGTGCTGGCAGGGCTGTCAACATGTGTGCTAATGGATCTTATCAGCTGGTGCTGTGACACAGCATATGCTTAGGGTCAGTGCTGCTGTGACAGGAATGGATTAACAGCACAGGAGATACCCATGTGCAGAGTGGAGACACCAGAATTTATGAGGAAAGTGTAGCTTTTTGTTTGAGCTACAAACCAGAAACAAATGGTGAATTTATAGACAGATAAAGGGGAGGATGGAAGTAAATGGACAAGGCTCTTGGGCACAGAGTGGCTCTTGGGGATGGTGCAGTGCAGGGCCAGGAGTTGGACTGGATGATCCTTGTGGGTCCCTTCCAACTCACCATATTCTGGGATTCTCTGAAATAAAAGCTGCTGCATAAAGCTTTCTCTGCCTTTAAAGAATGCTGCTATTTTCGTGTCTAGGTCAGTATTCATTCTCCTACAGTAATGATCCTGGAAGTGAATTAGTTCATTCTTGTTGTTGATTGTGGTGTAACATTATCTAATCACCATTMACAAATGTGATAATGGATTAGTAATTTTTTTGTTGCGTATCTTGTTGAAATTGCTTCGCTGTTGTGGGAAAAATTAAACTGACTCAATAAGGACAATTTAAGCAATTATAACCCTGTTTTCATTAAATGTTAGAACTCACACTTGTGTGCAARGTTTTCAACTGTAGTAGAAATCCTCTATACCCTCTACACTCTGTTCTGCACGGCAGAGATGAGATTTGATATGCACTAACTTTATTTGATTTTTATTTTAGATATGACAGTGATGGTTGGTGTCCACCTTTGCCAGTTCAGACCTACCTGCATCAGGGCATGGAGGATGAGCTTGAAGAGGATGATGATCGTGTCCCCACACCTCCTGTCCGGGGAGTAGCTTCATCTCCTGCCATCTCCTTTGGGCAACAGTCGACTGCAACCCTCACGCCTTCCCCACGAGAGGAGATGCAGCCAATGCTTCAAGCTCACCTCGATGAGTTAACAAGGGCTTACCAGTTTGATATAGCAAAGCAGACATGGTAAATGTTTGAAGGGGTCATCTGTGATCAGGGAAATGAAAGCAAAATAATAATAACAATGATAATGATAATGATTTATTCCTTTATGACATAAATATTGACTATGTTTAACAACATTTCAGTTATGTTTCTGAAGAAGTAAAATGGAAGAAGAAATAGCAAAATCCTGTCCATAGTTGGAAGGCCCTACAATTAGTATGTGCTCTTTAAATCATAATACTTGGTAATATGCAAAATTTTGTCTAAAAACATATAAAAATAGTATTTCTCAGAAATTTTACACATGTTCAGCTAAGTAGTTAATACCCACCTCCTGACAGCTTTTATACAGTTGAGAGTACTCTCTCTTCAGGTTAGCAAAAGATAGGAATTTTTTTTTTATTTTCAAAAATAACGATATTCTAAATTCCTGATTCAAAACAATGAKAGTCTCTTGAAATAGCAGTGTAGCAGCTTTTACACTGTGCCACTTGAGTATGAGGCATTTGCATCTCTGTGCTTTGAAATACCATGAGAATTTCTGATTCATGGGAAAAACCCAGGAACAGCAGAAAGAAAGTTGTTAGTATTTACAGAACGGATCTAGTGTTTAGAATGCTTTACGCCTATTCAAAGGAAGTGCAGCAAATACCACAGTAACATTTCCACTGCAAAACAAACAGAAGCAGTCTCTTCAGGGACTGCAAAAGAACTTGTCAACTGCAGCAGGCTGGGGACACGGTGAAGGTCAGTTTCTTCCTGGATGTTCCCTAAGCAGCAGTTGTCCTTTTACAACTCTTCCACCCAGACAAAGGCCGCGAATCTCAGAGCAGAGCTGGTTACTGCCTGGCGCACTGCCAGCGGAGGAGCAGCCTTTCTTCCCTGGTAAATAAAGCCAGAGTTATTCATCTCGAGCTCCCATCAGTACATCAGGCAGGTAGGCAGGCGGTGCCCAACCCGAGCCAGCTGTTTTCCCTGGGCACCRCACAAGCCTCGAGGCTTGTCTGCAATCTGCACTCCATCAACAGGGTACCACGCCAAGCAGGGCCCCCAGCCTTCCTGTGGGACAGACCCAAATCCCAGCAGCAGCTAGACCTGGCCTCTTGAAGGCACCGGCTTCTGAGCCAGCACACAGATGCACASCCTGCCAGCACAGGCAGTCGCTGCTGCATTTTGCAGCTGTTACCCTTGCTGTGCCCTCCAATCCCGGGTGCTGGTCCAGGCACAGATAATGGAGCAGGGCGCTGCACCAAAGCCGCTCACAGCTGGCAGGAAAGGTCTTGCTCCCTTTTTGGAGAAATAAAAATTGATTGTGAAGTTTCATAATGTGCTTAGGATTATACAGATTTTAATGTTGTTCTTGTGTAAAGTCAAGGGAATTGAGCCTGAAATGCTAAAAAAAAAGAAAAAACAAGGACGTAACCTTTTTTCATATTTGGGTATTGGGGTAAATGCTGAGGGTTGCAAAGAGAAGTGATTTTTATGACAGGAATTTTAAAAATATTTTTATGTTGTTTGGCTGGACATKTATCATGCTAGTCCAAGTCAGTAGAAATCCTCCATTGTTTTGACCGGGAAGGAAGATTTCTCAGTTTTCTTTTCACAAAGTTAACCTGCCCAGTGTACAGAGAGGGGGAAAACTAACCAGCAAAATGAGACCTGTCAGATAGGTTGCTGTGGGAGTAGCAACAGAGAAATAAAGAGATCAGCCAACTAGGAATTTAAGAAAGAGCCCATTAGAGATTACTGGAAAAGTACATAATCATTATGGCCTTGATCCAGCAAATCACTTAAGTATATGCTTAACTATGAGTACATGAGAAATTGACTTCAATTGTTCTATCACAAGCTTAACATTAAACATATACTTAAGCATTTTGCTTGATTGGGAGCTAATCACACTGTTTATTGAGGGTTAGTTAGATGGTAGTGCCCTTTAGTGCCCCAGTGTTTTGAACACTGCATAGAGCACTAAAAACCTTGTGTCCAGGCAGAAAAGGATTCAATAACTGTTAATCAGGAGGTGGTTGTATATCAAAAAGGAAACACTTGTTCTGGAAATTAGATACAGAACAAGAAATGAGTTAAAACCTTCACTGAGGTGGAGAAAGTTACCAGTGGTACATAACATTTACCATGACATTCTCATATCTAATAGATTTAAATTATGTGAATTTTTAAAACGGCTCTTTGAATAAAAAGAATTCATTCATCGCGTATAGGCAACAATACTGCACAAAGTTTTCACTGAAAATATAGCTGGGAGCCAAACAGGTGACAATTGTAATTTGTTTKGTTTTACCTCTATGTAAGCAAGAAACCGGCAGAATCCTGGATCCCATCCAGAGTGCTGCCGATTCAAATCAGGTCATGGCATCTCATGTACAGCCACCCAAGGATTCCCASGTGCCTAAATTAGCAATTGCAAGCATGGGACATGCTCTTGTGCCAAGGCAAGTCCTGCCTGGCTCCCCTGGCACAGCTTGCTGTGTACCTGTTGTGCTCTGTGCTTTGAAAGGTGGTGGTGTTCTTTTGTCTCAGAGACCAGGCAAATCAAACTCCAGATCCCATGCTTGCCTTGGGCCATTTAGCCATCCTGTGGGTGCTTTTTTATCTTCGTTTTTCTTTTTCTGTTTTTTTTTTTTTTTTCCTTAATGTGATTGCTGCATGCAGTAATTTCACACATGCATGCCCTAATACTGCTGCAATTAAATCAATTAAACTTCTTGGAATAAAGCAAAATGAAAAGGCCTCRCTGATGATGCGTTCATTGGACTTGAAAATTTCTTCTGTCCTGCTGGCCATTTCCTCCTCTTTAGGGTGACTTTTGCTTCAGGGCACTGCATCTGCTTAAGCGGAAGGAGTGAAATTTAACTTTGGTTCAACGTGTGATTTGCAAGGGGGAATATTGGGTGAGACACTTATATGCTAGGCTGGGATTCAGAATTGTGCTTTTCCATGGCTTTCCTACCTGATTTATGTAGGCTCTGTGTGTATCGCTCTTTATCTGTGGGAAGGCTATCCTGACCTTCCCCATCCTAGGGGATTTTGTCTTTATTCTTTTTATTTAAGGCTGGAAAGTGTGCAGGCACACTGGTATTAGAAGCTGTGATGAATAACTGAACTGACTTTTCTTGAGTYTGACCTAACCAAGCATGTTTTGTAAACCTACTTCAGGACGTGCTGAAAGGCTTCTGTTTTACTGACCATGGGCAGCAAAGTCTCATCCATTCTGAYACCTTTTCCTGTTTGTTTGTATAGGCACATCCAAAGCAATACACAACCTCCTCAGGCTCCAGTTCCTCCCCTAGGATACGTATCTGGAAACCTCATTTCAGATTTGGAAACAGATGTTCCAGATGACGATGATGATGAGGATGATATGGAAGAAGAAGCTGTAGAAATCAGTAGGCCACTGAGAGGTCTAGAGCATACTCCAGGCTCCAGTATGGACAATCTAGACAGCTCTGTGACAGGTAACCAAACACAGTGACACCAGCTTGTTCCTAYCAGTAAAATGTGTCATCAGTCGGACACTTCCTAAGTGAAAATTTATTCCACTCGATTTCTGTAACATTTAAAATGTGTTAATACTAAACGCTAAAGTTAAAGAAGGATTTGGAAATACTTTGCTTTGCTGCAACATGATAAGAAAATTCATGAATTTTAAAAAGCTTTAAAGACTTGAAAGAAAATTCAGTTATATCCTAGCTTTCATGAAAGGTTCATTCTACTAGAGAAGCAAGGCAGTTACATGAAAAGGAGGGGGAAGACCTCAGCTTAGCAACATATATTTCATAAATCAGAAGTAGCATAAAAATATTTTCTTAAAGCACTTTTAGATAGTCTGTTGGGTAAATGCTTTCCCTGATGAACACAAGAAAGTTAAAGACCTCAGAGTAAATKTAGTTAGATCAGCACAATATTTATTTATAGAGTAAATACCACATTTATGTAGGAAAATGTGTATTTTGTACCTACTTTGTATTGCTGAATTTAGTAATTGTTCCCTATTTAATGATTCTGACCCTCYTTCCCTCACTGCTTCTTGCCTTGGAAAGCTACATCATCATCAAAGGGGACCTAGAAAGCCCTGCTAAAAATCAATGCACAGAACCTGAACAAATTAAATTGCTGTTGGTGAAATGTAGGCASTGAAAGACATTGTTTTTTAAAAACACAGATTTTATATGAACGTAACATACTCTTTGGAAGCATTAGTGTACTTCCCTTTAGGTTGAACCTGGATATCTGTTTAATGTACTGTGTCCATAATGTGCAGATGTGCTGGAGACCCAAATATCCCAAATGGCACAGTGGTGGTGGGTGCTACTTCAGTTTTTTATCTCAGTGGATGAACACTGATTATTGCTTGTACCTTAAGGGAGCTTGTTCAGAACCATTGCACCACGGAATTCAGTTTTTGTCTGGACCTTTGAAATCCCAAGGCTTTTGCACCCATGCTGAAAGATTGCTGTTCTGGAAACAGTGTAGGAATATGACCATGGTGGAGCATCAATATCTATAATTTTCTTCCTTTTCTCATGTTGAATGAAATAKTGTGTAGCTTAATCCCACTTTCCAGGTTTTCCTTCATCCTAAAGCCAGACTGCTTGCCAATCTAATTAAGATTTAAGAATTGTATCTCTGCTGCTGTGATTTGAAATCCAGATGCAACTGAAGGCCATGAAGTTAAAGTTTAAATCCCTGAATTGAGAAGGTTAACTTATTAGTGCATGAATATGTTAACTCACTTTGCTTGAATTTCTAGTGTAATCTCCTTCAGGCTATAATGCTGCATATTTTTGCATATCTCACTAATGGCTCAGAAGCCTTTCTGTTAGGAATTCACGAAGAGTTTTGCACTGGCAAAACAGCAACAAATAAATTTTTAAAAAACAGGTTGGTATAAATTTTTCATTTGGTATATATTAATATGCCAATGCTTATGTATCTGTAAATCAGAAAATGAATGTTTCCCTATTTGCATCTTCACTTGATATTTTGGACCATGCTTCCTATAGCAAATAAGGAAYAGTTGTATTCCTGCTCCAGTTTAAAACTTCCGTGCTTATTACAGCTTATATTTTTATGAATAACCTTCAGTCTTGTTATAATATGTATAAATCTTGTTTCATTATTGGAGCATTAAATATCTAATTACTGGAGTGTTAGAAGCTTTCTRGTATTTTGGAAGAAATTTGGCAGAGCTCGATAATGTGGACTGGGAATGTACTTAAGGTGGTGTAAATTCATGCCCACTCATCACCACCACTAACTTCATGTGGCCTCATCCAGCTGGAAATTAAAGTTTTTCTTTTCCTTTTTCTTCTGCTTCTTTAATTACTAGCTGGATCTCTTCCTTGCTCTGGTTCACCACATGGCAAGGTGTGTGCTGGCCCTGCAGGAAGGGAACATGCAGCTGGAAGGGAAGCAGAATWATAAACTGCCCCTATAGCTTGAAACCAACATTTAGACTAAGTTAAATAAGGAACGATAGCTTTACAGAACTATACCCAGAGTGTTAGTCTAAAGGGTCTGTAAGATGGCAAAATCTTCAAATAACAAAACTATTTCTGTTCTCCTCAGTTACTATATAGGTCAAACCTTGATTTTAGGAGGGCTTGATTTTTGTTTTGGGGTTTTTTTTGTTCCTAAGGATGGAAAGAAATTGCATGTTATACTTGGCCGTTTTTTTTTTTTTCAAAAGAGAATTTTAATTTTTCTTTTATCTATTTCTGTTAACTCTTCCAGGCTGTATTTGCTGGTGTTAAGGAGTGTATAGCAAATTGCTTCAGTTGTTCCCAAGCTGCTTCTCATTCTTCAATTTGATTACTTTTAAAATACTGTAGAACAACTAAATTGTTCTTTCTTGTGCTGACTTCAACCAGCATTTTGCTAGGAATTTATAGACCACGTTTTCACTTCTCTAAAGATTACATTTGAAAATGGAGGCAAATGAAAACAGCTGACCCAGATGAAGCAATGCTTTTGAAGTGCCCTGGGAGTTCAGCGTTTGTGAGAAATCTAAATTGACATCCCTTGGTCCAGACTTCCTCCAAACAGAGTTGCTGTGGAGGGAGCAGGGTGAGGTTCCTCACCCTGCAGAGTTTGCATGCCTCAGTCAGCGATGCCTTAAAGATCCCCACTCTTGGGTTGAAATGGTGCTTTGTTCTTCATGGCTGAGCTGAGAGCAAGGATTTCATGAAGTGCCAAATGTGGGATTCTCTGAGGGGAAACACTGGCAAGCTCCCGAATCCCTCTGACACCACAGTGCTGCTCCTTTAAACTGTTTGAAAGTCAAGTTGTCTTCYAGGCCCTTGAGTTTTAGTTACAGCTAACTGAGGATTCAGACAAGGATTTAATCTGCACTATTAAGCTTTTCTCTTTGCAGGTGGCAGAGACATAATGTTGACRTGTATAATAAAGTGAAAGGAAAGGAGGAGTGCTCAGGAACTGTATCTTAACATTCTCCAGCTATTACAAAGGGAACTCGAGGAGGGAGGTTTAGATTTGAATGTTTGTGGGATAGAATGAAATTTAAACCAAGGGTTTGCCTCATTCCCTGCATGGTTTGTTAGGATATCGAGTCACTGAATCTGCTTAAAAAAAATAGTAAGAACTAGAAAACACTGGTAAAACTTTTGCTCACTTGACTTTTAATTCATAATTATTTAGGGTTATTTTTTGCTTTCAGTGACACATTGAAACTTTCTCTTATGTTTAATGTTGGCCTTTATAATGAAGTCCTGTGTGGAATTATGTCATGAATGGCCACAAAGAGTCTGTTACATTATTTGACTTTAATGGACCTAATTAATTGCATATGATGGCTGTAGAAGAAATTAATTTGCTTCTCACTGAAATCACTAAGAACAAGCCTAGGTTTTTTCAGGTCAAAGTATTACAATTTGGGTTTTTTTTTACCCTCTCCTTATCTCCTTCTCCTGCAGCACCAGTGAAGCTGGGAGGGAGGGCTGTTGGATCTTCAGTCCTGGTACACTTTGGCTGAGGGAAGAGATACACTCATTAACTAGCGTGGAAATTAGAGCAAGCCCTCTTCTACCTCATACAAACTGATATAAACAGATATTCTTGTAAACAGTACCAKAGCAAATGGGTAACAATTTCTTTTTTCAATAGAATTATATAGATCTGAAATTATAAAAATCTCTGTAGATTGTGAGGCTYAGCAAGGAACAATATCCCTTATTTGACATGTTTTGGCTTTGATTAAAAGACTCACTGATCRCTGCCTGCATGGAAAAAGTTGTTCATTCATTGTGTCTGAGCACAAATGGAATAATTCTTGATAACTGCACAATATCATTTTCATGAGCCATATTTTACCATRGCAGAGCTCAATATTTATATTGATTTGCTTAGGGATACCTATWGCAAAAGATTCTATTTTATAAGCAGTTAGACATATTGCATTTAATAGGAAGAACGTGTTTCATGGATTAAATATGTGCTCAGAAAATAGGAAACTGCTACTTTTTGTATCTCATAAAAATGGTAATGCAACAATTAGCAGGGTCATATTATAAAGCACAGACTTTACTCTAGCTTAATGGATCTAGGGATATGCATTCATCAGCAACGATAGATTTAGCATAAAATGACATGTAAATGAATTGATGACTGATCATAAATTAATTTTAGTGCTGAAGAAGTAATAGAGACACAGCAAGATGCCACTTTATCATAGTATTTTACTGCTCAGCAACATTTGAGCAACTACTTAATGTTCTGTGTRCATTTCTTTTCTAACAGCTTGAATAAATTTGAGAAATTTTTRTGCCTTTCAGCAATATGGAAACAAAAAAAAATATAGAAAGATGGAATGCAAACAGAAATAAATTTGGCTAAGTGACATAAATTCATTTTTCATTAGATGTTTATGAAGGTCATTAATTATCATCAGACCTGTGAAGTGTCGAATGTCTACGTACGTTTTTTACCTCCTTCTTTTTTAGAAAATGAAATATTTAAATCTTAAGGGTTTGTTCCAGGTGTATAYGTTTAAATATATGGGCATTTAGGGTGGAGGAAAGCAAAAACCAAGGTCTAGTTTTTGAAGTGTGATTGTTTTTATATTCTGCATTCAAACACTCCTGTTATTCTTTCTTGTTTTGATGGTACAAAGACTATTTCCGCTTCTACTCCATCATTATACCAAAATCAGTGGTCATTCTCTCTGTGCCATTATGGCAGTAGTGAGACATATCCAAGAGAGGATAATATCCTTGTCCTGTACAAAGGCTAAAGGAATTCTGTAACTCATTTCAGCTGGTGTAGCATCGGTCCCCAAGGATTGGGGTCCCCAAGTCACCCGTACTTCACAAACCTAAGCAGTCTATCTAKGTTCCATTAAAAAAGCTGCAGAGGAGGAGGGACTTAATGTTGTGGATGGTCTTGTAAAGGAAAACACATGAAGGAAGCTCATAGAGGTTGATAGATGCAGAAAAGTATCTAATTGAATTCTCAGAGGTGTTGGGTTTGTTGTGAGCAGCTTTTATTTCACATGTGCATTCAATTTTTTTATCATTTTTATTTTTAAGTGAAGCAACAGTACATTTTGCAAAGAAAAATAGCATTTTTATTGCCAGCAAAATGCCACTAAAGCGGTAGCAAGCAGCCTGCTGGAAGCTGGCACCTCTGTTCCCCTCACCTTTCCCTGAGAGCAAAGAAGCTTTCTGTTTGCATTAGCACCAAGAGATATTTTATGGAGCAAGAAAACAGAGTTCAACTTTTCACAGAGCTGATTTTGTTCTGCATAAAGCATTTACTGCTGCTGTCAGCAAGAGTAAAATTTACAGTTGCCAGAAAGCGTAAAAACTCAAATGTGCTCTTGGAAAACACATAGTGAGCTGCATGTAAAGGAGACACTAAAAGCCTGTTTCATCCCATTTCAAAATGCACRGTTGATCTGAAAGGAACGTCAGCATCTCTTATTCTGCCTTTATTCAGAAAAAAACAAATGTGCATCTGATTTGGAAAGCAAGGGGCCAGTGGATGCCTTTGAACAGCAATGCCCACGTGTGCTGTGTTTGCACAGCTGTGCTGTGGCCTGAGGTGCCCGGGCTGGACTCCAGCACTCCCATGCCTGCTGGGCAATGTCTGCACCTCTGCAGGTCACAGCAAAATGGGATTTACTGCTGCAGGTTGTGGTGGGGAAAAGGAATCGTTTGTGTGGTGAAACTGAGTAGCTTGGGAATCAGTGGAAACAATGTCAAGATGTCACCTTTAGCTCCCTGTTCACACACAGCTGTGGGTGCTGGAGGTGTCTCAGGGTGCCTTGCTGACTTTGGCAGTTACAAAAAGTTTCCGTTGAAAAAGTTGCTTCCAGCAACCAGAAGTAACATAGAATGGTTTGGACTGAGARGGACTTTTAAAGGTCATCTGGTTCCATCCCYCTGCCATGWGCAGGGACACCTTCCACTGTCYCAGGTTGTTCAGAGCCCCATCCAGCCTGGCCTTGAACACTTCCAGGGATGGGACAGCCACAGCTTCTCTGGGCARCCTGTGCCAGTGCCTCACCACCCTYACAGTAAAGAATTCTTTCCTTATATCCAATTTAAAGCTGCTCTTAGTTTAAAAACATTGCMTCTTGTCCTGTCACTGCAGACCTTATCACAAAGCCTCTTTCTGTCTTTGTTATAGCCCCACTTTACACACTGAAGGCTGCAGGGAGATCTCCCCAGAGCTTTTTCTTCTCCAGGCTGACCAACCCCAGTTCTCCCAGCCTGTCCTCACAGAAGAGAGATTCCAGCACTCTAATCACAGTTGTGCCTCTTCCCTGGACACACTTGTCCCATTCCCTGTCTGTCTTGTGCTGAGAATCTCAGAACAGGAAGCRGAATTCCAGGTGGGGYCATGACATCCCAGTAAAACTYATGACCCTGCAAGAACAGMGCTGTACTTCCYGCCTGACAGMCCCCCTAGCAGAGCTGCAGAAGGAGAGGGGAAGGGAGAGGGATCCATGGCTGGAGTTCACTATTCCTGGCCTTGCTAATATTTGCTGTCCATGGGAATGTGAGGAGATGAGGAACAGAGGTTTTTTTGCAGGGTTAGCCTAGGAAACTGGCAGTTTGATAATAAAAAAGTAGATAATTTTAGAAAAACTGGCATGTCTGTGAGTGTGTAGAACAATAGCTGTATTCACACACTAGGTGCTTTTGGAGATTTCAGTATATTTCATACCTAAAACGAGGCTTTTTTTTTTTTTTTTTGACTAACAGTCCCGTCCTTTAAAGAGCGGGTGAGAAAGTGGTACTGCATGTACCCTGAAAGTGACCCATCCAAATTACCCTGTGCATTGTATGTTGTGTCACAGCTGAGTGGTTAGCAGATGGAGCACTGTGAGCAAATGGAAATTAAAAGTTCTTTTAAAACATCTGCAGTTCCATGRATTGTGATACTGAAAACAGAAAGTGTTCTGTACAGTATATGGTTTTTTATGTCTCTACGTAAAGTAGAGAACCCTTGGGCCCTGAAATTAATGGCAATATATGTTAAATTTTTAGCATCCAAGTATCATCTTTTGACATCTGTAGCTCTAGATATAATTTTATGTTTCAGCTTGTACTTACATATTTTGTGGAATGTGTCTRTAAGTGATTGTTTGAAAATGTCCTCAGTTATAGCATTTCATTTTCTTACATCTTCATGAAGTGTTTTATCTGTAGTATCTCTTTTCATACATCATCAATAACTTGCTAAGTGTCTTTACTCTCCCTTCTCTGTGATCCTATTGCACTTTGATTGTTAGCTCAGAAAGTGCCTTCTCAGAGGAAATTCAGTTTTAGCCTTCCCTTGCTGTTATCTGGGCTCCCTCACATCTGTCTGCTTCAGGTCGACTATGTTTAGAAAATAACAATTTTATGTGTGCTCTTGGCAAGCAGAATCAAACTCTGTCACTCCCTGTTGCGCTTAACACACTTTCTGCCTGTCAGACCTCCGCAGACCTCTTTGGTTTCTTTTCTTGCATCTGAGAAGTGCATGGGCTTTTGTTGTTATAGCCTGCCACTTCTCTGACATTAAAAGGTTTGGTCACTGCAGCATCACAGAATAATCCATTGTTCTTGGGCTTTGTGGTGCAGCGTGCTACTGAATTCCAGGATTCATTTGTTGTACTCATGACCTATTTTTGCAGGACATTTTTAATATCTGACACCACCATTAGTTAATTAGCCTATCAATTAGCCAATAAGCAGGTCATTATTGATTTACTACTTAGCAATTTTAAGCACAGCAATGCTTTCTTGGACATGGATTTAAAAAAGGCTGCTGTAGTGAGACACATTTTATGTACATTTACAGAAATTCAGCTCTGCTAACCCAGTAAAGTCAGGGCCATGATGTATCCTTCCACATGTCTTTGGAAACCACTTCTCTGCAGATTCCCACAGGTTCACTGGGCTTCTTTTTTTTTTTTTTTTTTTTTAACATAACTGTTGCTAAAAAGCACATTTCATGTGTTTCAAGATGGTGTGGTGGATGTGTCATCTCAGAGCGACACGCTGTGTCTACTCAGCACCGTGCAATGCCATGTAATGCACCATGCAGTGCAGCAGCTCAGGTCCCAAAAGCACTTTGGTAGCTCTGCACCTCATGGTGGGCTGGTAAGGTCAGGCTGCCCTGTTCCTGGAGCAAAGTGAAATATTTGCTGCTGGTTCTTTCCTTTGCTTCCTGCTCCACTGCATTGTGCAGAATAACTGGGGCATTTTAGAAGTACAGAACATAATCATCTCCATCTGAAACCCTGAAAGAAATAGAATTAAAGTACTTTGAAAAAAATATTTGCTTTTGAGACTGCCATTCTCATTAGCTGACTGATGTTTGATTCATGCATGGAAAAAAATAAAATAGAAATAATACAAATAAAGAGCAAATAAGATTGATTCTTCCTTCTCTAGTTTGCTCTTTCTATCAAGATTTCTATCTGTCTTTCATGTGGTTTTTCTGGTATCTGGTTTTCTGACTGCATTTTTATGATGATGTTATTACTTTCCTCTCCTGCAGTGATGCTAATCCATAGTTAGAAGGTACCATGGGACCAAACGCTGGCCTAGCAACAGACTCAGTATTAAATTTGAGCATATATTTGCTCTGCTCTTGAATCTTAATTATTTCTAGCCTTTTATAAAAGTTACTTTAATCCRCTAGAATGAACTACTTCAGATCAGCTTTCTCAGGCCATTAAAACTGCTTATTTATTTTAAGGTTTTGATAMAATTGCATTGTGCCAGTCTTGTTCAGAGTAGCACTTGAAGTCCAGGCCTGACTGTAGCCACATATAYTGAGACTTGCACATGTGCAGTCCAAAATTAAGACTTGGTTTTGCAAACATCAAACTAGATACTGATTTGTAACATGTCAACTAAAAAATAACAAAAACAGTCACATTCAATTCAATGACAGGAAAAAGCCATTAATTTTCAAAAGAATTTACTGTGGAACTTTTGCATTTGTGGAGAGTGTGTAGTATTTTGCTTACAGGATCAAAGCTAGATGGAATAAGCTATGAATGAGGTCCCACCTAGCTCTGATAGTGCTCTGTTGTGCCAAATTCTGTCAGATAAACTTTGGGGTTTGTGTTGTGAAAGGATGCAGTAAGGGGGTCTTTAATCTTTAAATTAATATTGCTCTTTTGTACCAAGCTCTGTCAAATGAATTTTGGAYTTCCTGTTGAGAAAGGACGTGTTAAGCGGGTCTTTAATCTTTAGATGAACGAAGAATATCCAATGTGCACCACTCACTAGCCCCCCTACATTTGTTTTTAGGTTCAATGGTAAATGGATGGGGTTCTGCGTCTGATGAGGACCGTAACTTTTCTAGTCATAGATCTAGTGTAGGTAGCTCCTCAGATGACTCGATCTTTACCAGCGGCACTTTTGCACAAGCACTGGTTGCAGCAGCAGATAAAGCTGGGTTTAGGCTGGATGGAACCAGCCTGACCAGAACAGGTTTGTAGACTCCAAGTTGATGCTTTCTGCATGAAGGGTGTCTCTGCCTGTCCTTCTCTCAGTGAACCTGCCTCTCACACTTGTCTAACAYGCATGGAATAAGGTGGATGGAGATWCTTTTATCCATACATTTTCAATGAAACCTTGCATTATGTTTCATTTTTAGTGATTTGAAGTAGTGAATAGCACAAGCTTTTAATCTGCACCTTCTGTCTGCTGCAGTTGCCCTCTCTGCTGACTCTGCTGTAGRTTTACTGATGTATGCTCATTTAATATTTTGGTGAAGAAATTACTAATTCTGCCTTGCAGCCTTTGATGATTCCATTTTCTGAAAAATCTCCTCACAATCTTTCCCATTTCCAGTGATGAACACCATGTTTATTACCTCCATCCCTGCTCTTCTGTTGCATTTTATCTTGCAAAAGTGTGTTTTTCTGTGAAGTTTTCTAAGCATGGGGTGAATTGGTGTTCTTTTATTGTTAACAATACAAACTGTTTAAAGCTTTATTAAGAGTTGGTTTAAAATAATTTAAAAAGTTAATATATTTTGATAACATTTAATTTTAKTTATGCCAACTGAATCTGCCAAGTAAAATGTAACAAAGGTAAAGCGTTGCAAAGTATTGCTTTTGAAAACAGCCAGTCTTCTGAAATTAATTAGTGAAAACTAAATACAGTTTCGTTCATATTTTTAAAGCTCCATATGTTTTATTTCTATTAAAAAGAAAAAAAAAGAAAAGAAAAATTATCTTGAAATATTCTGGTAAAAAAAGAATACATTTGAATTTGCTCAATCTTGTMAAAATATCAACAATAATTATTTAATAATTATTTAAATCCACAAGTCTAAGCAAGGAATGAACTTGGGTCATGTTTTTTGTTATGCTTCCTGAGCTGATTCCTGATGACAGGTCCCATAATATTCCTATCATTGAAATTTTTTGATGGTTAGTCTGGTATGAAGTATCTCCTTCATAAAATGTATGCATTTAGGAGAAATGTCTCACATGTTGGGTCTGTAGGGTTTCTGCATGCAATAACTTCAAGGCAAGGATTGCCTTTTACGAGTGTTGAGAATAAAGGAAAGAGTTGATGGCAAGGTCCTAAGATTCAGCTTTTTACAAATCACTGGGACTTTTGCCACTGACTTTGATTCGACGTAGTCATCCTTAAAAGATTCTTATTTCACCAGACGAGAAGCCATCAATTATTTCTTTTATTAATGGAAAAATTGAGCAAATCTTTCTTATCAGTCGAGAAAAAAAAAAAAAAAAAAAAAAAAAAAAAAGCAGAACAAAACAAGAGAAATCATGTAGACCTTTACTTATCTAGTATGGACAGATTTGGCCAAATTGTGACTTAAAATATACTGTTTTCCTTGAAGAGTGTCCCAAGTTCTGAATGAAAGGAGTAAATCCTTTCCAACCTTTTTTTTGGTGGTGTTTGCTCCGGCAAAGTCTAATGCAAAGATTCACCCAAAGTTCCTGTCACGTGTATCAAATCTTTGAGAAATGCAGTTCCCGCCACAAGCACACACAGAAGTAAATGGACACACAAACACAGACACTTCAGAAAAAACCTGATTTTTTATTGTAGCTATGTGAATGGAAAATCCAAGGAAAGGATGAGAGCCCCCTTGTCAGTTGTATTTTCCCAGCTTAATTAGGTCACAAAATGCACTTAAAATGAGTGTATGTGTAATTCCTCAGACAGACCATTAGAGTAGAGGGTACAAAAAGATATCCAGTGGTTGTGGTAGAGACTTCAAGATATTACCCTCTTGCTCTCTTGATGACACAGCAGGCAAAATGGAAACAAACTAAAAATCACATGTAAACAAAGAGCCCTCCCCTCTTTTCCCCACGGAAACCACAACAAAGGGAAGCACTCCCCGTGCCCAGTGCAGTTTCATTGGGATGTGTCCCCTGGCAGGGCAGGGTGACTCGCTCAGACATCCCTGTCACAGCCCCCCAGGCTGCACAGGAGAAGCAGCAGCGTTATCTGTCCATTGCTCTGAAGGGAGTCTGCAGGTCCTGACTCTTCATTCCTCTGCAGTCTGGACACTTCTTTTCACCCCTTTAGAGCAGCTGTGAAATACTCTCAGCGGTASATGCTAAAGGAGATGTCCAGCTTGATGGGCTCACGTGGGAATGTTTGATTGCCAAGCATGAGAGCCACTGGTAAATCCAGATGTAGCTGTCTCTCCTGCCAGACACTTTGATTCCAGTTTCCAGAAGCCATCCTGTGATTTGCCATGAARTTCAAACACCTTTCCTTTTTAACACCCTTGGGAAATTAAATCAAGAATTAGTGGATTCATCCTTGTCTCCACTTGCACACACTAAATCTGCTGCAGAAAGTCTGACACTGCTCAGCAGTTTTTGCTGGAAGGGCTGCATAAAAATACAAGATGCTGTAATCAGTTATTAAGTGCATTGAAAAATTCGGGARTCTGCACATCATTTGTGTTTGTCCCATATCTGATTTAGGTCAGTGCTATTTATTTTGCCTCATTTTCATGAAGGGATAAATGAGAATGCTTGGTTTCTATCTCTTTTTAAAACCTGCATTCTGAATGAATAATGACATTTCTTTACTAAAAAGTGTGAAGAATCTGCATCCTGCAYTCCTAGTTGCACTTGCATGTTGTGAGTTTATTTTTGCAAAACATCTGTGCAGCGTACTGGGAGCTGGGATGGCATTTCAGGCTCACATCTGAATTTCTTTGCATTAGTAGCCTTTTTTTTATTTTTATTTTTAAACGAAATTTTAATTATTTTTTTTTTCTGTGTTCATCTGCTGTGTTATCCTTATCCATGGAACAAGGGTTTGATCACTTGTCTTTGTCTGGCTGCAGCTGGGCCAGCTATAGAAGTTGATGTTCCCAAATGCTTATTCCTTCTCTCACTCAGCCCCAGAATTAGCTGCTTGGGCGGTGTTATATAACCCAATTTTGGTTAAAACGAGCTAGGTTAGCAAAGGCATTGTTTTCAGACTATATAAGTTCAATTTGGCTTCTTTTTTTTTTTTTTNTTTTTTTTTTTTTCCTGTAGAGCAGGTTTAGCAGGGTCCTCCTCAGGGTGCACAGCAGTCAGAAGGCAGAAGATCAAGCCTGAGGCAGTCAGGAAATCTCTGAAGTCAAATAGTGAAATATTATTCTAACATGTATGTGTTAATGTGAAACATGTTAGAGAGATTACAGCTACATTTACACTTCGCCCTMTTGCACTGTGAATATTTCCAAGAGGATGCTGAGCTGCATATTACTCCCAATTAAAGTTTTCTAGATCAGGTTGTATGTAAAATATGTATTTTTCTGTTGAAAGGTTTTGCTAAAAAACTTAACTCACTGCAGGGTAGACCATGGTCCAGATTAACCAGAGGATAAAAAAAACTCCTTTCCATCTTGGGCCCAGTTGACCAGAAAAACTACAAACACCCRTTTTGCCACTTTCTGTCAACGCTTACACCATTTGGGCCTAGAGCAGCCCTGGAAGAGCAGAAGTTCTGACTGGCTTATGGATTTTCCATTGCAGAAAATGTTTTAAAATTACATTAAAACATGTAATTTTAATTACCAGTTCTAAATGAATTGAGATGTTAACGTCTCCAGAATTTGGCAAGAATGGCATACACAGAACTAAAGAAAGTAAAAGATGGTGATTTTTAATTTTCATCAATTATCATTAAACATTAAGTCTAGTTAACAGAATAAAAATATCAGAATAAGAGGAAGTAAATGTAGTAAATGAACTGTGTTCTTATATTCCCAGGCTTTTAATCATCTGCTCCCCAGAAAAGCATCAAAGATTTTTTTAAGAGAAATCACATAGCTTGAATAGTGTATTTATATACACTACATATATAAAATATATATAAATCTGAGAAATAAATTCAGTCAGAATATATATTTTTAACATCTAAAAGTACTGAAAATTAAAAGTACTGGAAAATTTTAGCATTTAAATATGCCCACATTTTTATTTCTTGAGAAGAAAGAGTCCTTGAGTATACAAACCTACATTGCTACATAGCTTGAAAAATCAGTTGTGTTTATCTCACTGGAGTTACTCCAGATATACAGTGCATATGGGAGCCCCTAAAATGAGAATCTGGCTCAGCAAACATGAAAGTGGAAGGCAGGAGGARATAAATTTGATATGATTGCAGAACTGTTTTCTCTCCCCGTTCAAGGCTGAGGAGTTGTTATGACACATCTGTTCAGCACACAGAGCAGGTAGGAGTTACATGGCATACAGTAGTTTTATCACAACAGATGCAATAATTTTAATTATAGAAGTTAAAGACAAAAGAATGCCAAGTTTTTYTACTTCACTTGTGGTGTGTCTTAAGGCAGTTGTTATCAGTGGGTACATTGAGGGGGCACTTGCTTGCCTCTGAGAATTTAATGTTTCACAGCACACATTAATAGAACAGCCCATTTCAAGACAACATTTTTTCATCTGGTTTCTTTTTTATTATTTTTTTTTTCTTTCTTTCTTCAGGCAAAGCATATTCTTCCTCTCAGAGACCTCGGCCAGGCAGTCCTTTTTCCACTGACAGCAACACCAGTGCAGCTGTCAGTCAGGGGCAGAGGCCACGGCCCACGAAGAAACACAAGGGCGGACGTTTGGAGCAGCCGGCGCTGCCCCATCGCCGGGAGGGAATCACGGATGGTGAGTGTCGGGGAGGAGAGCTGCAGCAAGCAGGGCTGCCCAGGGGGAGCAGGTAGAGCCTTCTTTTCAGGAATAGAGGTTACACTGAATTACAGCTTTGGTGGGGTKGGGTTCCCAGGTTCCCACCGGTGCAGTATTGCAGCTCTAGCAGTGTGGAGTTGGGTAGACATTTGAGGAGCCCCATTTCTCCTCTGAGCATGCCACCATCTCTTAGAGTTTCTCAGAACTCAGTATAAATCTTACCCCAAAATGACTGCATTGCACATGCGTTGACATAAAAAATGTCSTGTGAGTAATTTTTCATTTTATGGAAGTAGCCACCACTAGCAGTATGCCATGAATTCCTAAGGAGAAGCAGGGAGCTGCTCCCATGGACTCTGTTTGCTTTGTGGCTTTGAGAGACTCCCAGAAGCTCCTGCAACATGTGCCATGCTTTTACCCCATGATTCTGCCTCACTTCTTGTCTGTGCTGCTTCAGTCCTGACATCCACTGACCTCAGTGACTGTGTCTCCCTCTTTTACATCTCCACTTCTCTCTTATGACTATTTCCCATCTGGAAATTTCAGGCATGTCTGTTCTGCTCTTCTGATAATTAAGATCAGCTCTGTCTTCCATTTTCTTTGTATGCCTTTCTTGAGTCTGGCAAAAGACACACTTACTGCCTGTTGGTTTTTGAGAAAGATTGGATAGGAAGGTGGCCAGCTGGCTACCTCCCCCTCATTTCTTCTGATCCCTGGCCTTGTGCCTGCAGGTGTAGAAATGATYAGAGTCTTCACCAAAGGGGTAACTGTTACATCTCCTGCACTGTGGCTCATTCTCACTGCCATGTTATTTGTGGAAACAGCTTCAAGTAGCTTAGATTCTACCCATATGGATCAGCGTTGCTTTAAATATTAATTYCCTCCCCTTGTGGATATCCCAGAGGCCTTTCTGCTACACAGATCCATTGAATAGATGTGTCTGTGAACATAGTAACTGGCAATCGTGGATGTCACTTGTAGTGCTGGCCAAACTTTTTGTGCATGTTTTGTTAACCCTTCTGAGTGGCACATCCTGTCAYCCTGAACTGTGGGCATCTTGGGCCACAAATTCTGTGTGCATGTGAGCTTGTAGTGCATTTGGTATGGTGGGGCCTTAATCCTTCTGCTTTTGTACACTATTGCTACAGAAATGTTTTATAATAGTGTGGGTACCAGAAAATTAATGGGAATCCAGTTCAGGTCATGGGACAGATGGAAGTGGTGCTCCTCAGAGAGTGACTCCATGATAAAATTYGGCATTGTTTTAAATAAGCGAAAGATTTTAAGATTTATTTTAAAAGAGGGAATTCCTCTTGCCTTTTATTTATCCTTTATACAATACTAACCTTACTGGAGATTCTTTCATATATTTAAATCAGAATACCATTTATATACTATTTCCTTCAAGCTCCCAGACACAGGCAATAACCATAACAACTTTTGGACGTCATTAGGTTAATATTTGTCTATTATAAACCTAGCTAAAGTCCTTGCTATATGTTCCAAAAATTAATAATATACTGGAGCAACAGAGGAACTGTTCCCATCCTGTATTAACAGAGGAACAAACAAACAAACACAAATGGCACCGTTTTCCGCTTCAACTCCTACTGGATATGAGTCATTAAAGTGTAATGTCAAATCTGAGTCACAGTTAAATTTGCAAAAGATCATTTGTCAATTAAGGAAGCTAAAGGTTTCCTGTGCCACCTGCATGTATATAAACAATTGAATTTAGGAATTTCTGGCCTAGAGAAATTAAAAAATAGTAACTGGATGTTTCTGTGGAATATTGCCATGAACTTTACCAAGACAGACGATAGCACTGTGTTTAAGCTGTAGCTAGAAAAGCAAATAGGGGAACCTCAGATAGGTCCAGCAATTCCAAGCTCTAATCCAGGTCAGTCTGTTCAGCCCTGAGCCATCCTGATCTCTGTGAGAAGCATTGCTACATGTGTTCTCCAGTTTTTTTTCCCTTATAACTGCTTCCTCTTGGATTTGTCATGTGAGAATATACTTGGTTTGCCAGTTGTTTTCAAATTCCCAAGTTGGCTGAGTCCAAGTATCCTGTGTTTAAATCTCATCACATAYCGGCAGTCTGTCATTTTAAATTTTCATTGACCAAGAAAGCTCCAGCTTTCTCTGCCCATTCCCATACACATCCCAAGAATTTCCTCCTTGTTAACTGTAACCATGTGGGACAGTGCAAAAAACCTAAGAAACTGTAATATTTAACACATAGCACACACATCTCAGAGCRTGTAAGCATTTGAGGGTTCAAGTTCATGCTCAGTTTTGACAGCAATCCACACAAATCCCCTAAAACCCTGCTTCTTCATTTCCTTCAGCTGAAGGTCAGAGCCCTCTAGAGACTGACTCTAGATGGAGTSTTCATATTTGCCTTGCTATACAACTCGTTTTTTTCACTTCCACATCCTGAAAGGCTATGGAGACAACTGCAAATCCACAGAGGAAGAATCTGTTATTAATCCCTCAGATGATCAAAACTTGCATTCTGAGCTCACAGTCCACCTAAAAAAAAAAAAAAAAAGGAGGTTTTTAGTGTTAGGGCTCAATTTGTTTTCCTAGAAACAATGTACTCACGAATTGCAAAACAGTGGAATCTGTCTATCTGTCTTACAGTTTGCTGCACAGCAACTGTGTGACTGAAGTTAGAAGCCCTTCCTTAGCTGAACATGATATGCAACAAAACAAAACCCCAAAGAGGACACAGGAGGGAAATATGCTTAGGGTTTGAAAAGGGAAACTGAAACCTAAGRCTTGTTACCATGCCATGCCACTAACTTCCTACTGTGTATTACTAATAATTTTTCTAAGATGGATCACTGTAGAGAAAATACTTACCTTCTGATGGTAGAAAGTGGTTCAGAGGCTTATTAAATGTCACAGTAATTATCACCCCTAGGAAAAGAAATCACTGACACAGGGAGAAAGGTGTGTCCTTGTAGTTGTAGGTTCTTTAACTTGCTGCTTTTTCCAGTTAATAATGAGMGTCTGTGCCAAACCTTGTTGGTGCCCGAATCATTTAGCCAATGCTCTGCTTTCTAAAGAAGGGCTGGAGTAATCCCAGACTGAATATCTGTCTCCCCCTTATCAGGCACTCTGATGTCCTAYAGCTCCTCAATCACAATCCCTCCATTACTGAATCAATAAGACCATCACCTCCCCACCAATGCACTTATGAATTGCCTTGCAGGTTTGATAATCCTGCCATTAGAGGCTTCAAAATGATATTTTGAGGGATGACATCCTACTGACCTAGAAAGTTAGTAGCTTTCTGCAGGCTTTCAGGTATTTTCCTTACCACCTGAAGGATAAATGGGATTTAGATGGAATAGGGTGAAACAGTGTTACCACTCTGGGTATCCTCACTGAAAATCCTGCTGAAGTCCCTGAATTTCTAAATCCAAAACTTCTCTGAAGTGACTGACACGATAGAYGAGTTGGATTGCCTCTGTGTGGTAATAAGTCTTCTTGTGAGAATCTGGGCCTTCTAACTCAGCTGACATCTCTTACCCTTTAAGGAGGGTAGGAGAGGAAAGACAAAGCAGGACYGTTCTCAGTGGTGTTGGAGGAAGAAACTCATGACTCCAGATACATGGGATCTTTCTATACACCTAGGCAAGATGGCAGAAGATATTTAGTTTTTTATTTACTAAGGCACAAGTTTTAAATGCAGGATGTAAGTTGTAGAGCAAATAAAAAATCATATTTCCAAATTAAGCTCTCCTCCAGCCTCTTTTATTAAAAAGGACAGGTAGGTGTTGTTGTGACTGTCAGCCTGAGTAAGGAAGTGAAGAAGGAAATGGTTTAGTCAGTGATGTTTGGCTACAATTAGTAACTGTTCTTACAGATAATCTCAGACAGGTGTAACACAGTTCAGTAAGTCTGTACTAAGGCCAAAGCCACTTCATGTTAATTCCAAAGTACCTCTAGTTCTTCTAAAATTCTGTGAAGCTTCATTACAAGATGAATTTTATTTTTCTCTTCAACTCATCCATAGGTTTAAAGCACCCAAAGAAATTTACAGACGTGGTTGTTTCATTTCACATCTATGCATAAGTCAGTCTTTATGCTTATTTTGTGGATGGGTAAAAGCAATAATCAGGTTAACAGTAGATCAACATCATAACTCTTCAGTAATTCCAGGAGTTGCAGCCAGCTCTAGAACATGCAGTACAATTTAAGTACAAGCCTTCTTTCCTTTTAAGTATCTAATTAATAACAAATATTAGACAGCAATTTCTGAAGTAGGGTAGTCTGTTTGAAGTTTAATACTGCAATAATTTAAACTTCTTTTTTTTTTCCGTGCTACTATTTGAAAATTTTGTTTCTATCAAATGGTAAATATTTTATCTGGGAAAATTGCGTAGTCCGATGTCATGTTATGACCGTGTTTATTGGATTCAATGCATCTCCACAAAGTGCTTATAAATCACAACTTCRGTGATCTCTATTTCAGATTGCACAAGCAGATGCCAGTGTTGTGGTTCTGTGCATTAACTGGTTATGATCGCAATAAAATCAATTACAAGAAATGCCATTTTGGAAGCCAGCACTATAAAGCAATTTTAACTTTGGCAAGCTCCCATACCCTCCTGCTTCYACCTACAGTAACTCAAGTACAGTCATTGTCATGAAAGGTCACATCTATATTCATAAYGAAAAATTTCTCAAATAAATTAGTGCTGAACATAAAGCATGCACCAAGCTCACTGACAGATTATTAAAAGGCTGCTCTCGCCAGAGGGTSCTTATCTTAATCTGGGGCACAGCACTTCAGCACTGAGCAAAGGGGCAGGAGCTTCACTGGATACAACATTTTTCTCTTGTAAACACAAATAACCTGCATATCCTCATTTATTTATAAGAGACAGAGTTGACTGGAATGACATCTCAGCAACTTTGGAARCATTTCTGGTCCATATGTGAGGTATAAGTATCACCTCTAATGGCAAGGACACGAAAAAATTCTGTGTAGTATTATATAAAGCATTATATAAAGCTATTATAGCTGGATTACAGKCTTCGAAATAAACAACTCCCTCCAAAGGCCTCCTGACTAATTTATAAAATTAATTTCAGTTTCACTGGAGTTATAAACATCAGGCTTCCCTGCAGGCAAAACAGAGGTTTCCTTTCCATGCCCGTTCCTGAGCCAAGTTCAATTCCTTGGTAAACCTTCACAACACTGTAAGATACAAAGGACTAGAAAACAGGACAGACCCAAATCCATCGTAAACTAAATCAGGGTTTAGTGAAGTTGGCGTGGCTGCAGAGATTTATTTGGATATCCATTCCAACAAAACAGAGTTATCAAAAGGTGTTCCTTGTATAGGATGGATATATGATATGGAAGAATTTTCATTATGATACTAAAAGTGTCTCCATTTTCTGATTTTTATTTTCCTTTTAAATAATTCGGACTGTTCTAAATCTATCATATGGTTTACACAAAAAGCTTGCATTTAGAATTAAAATTATCCTGAGTCTATAATAACCTTGGGTCTTGGACTAATAAAAAAGTATACTTTTGCCCCCACAAATGTAACTAGAAGGTTGATCTTCAATTCATCAAGCACCCTCGTAGTCCAAGTCACAAACTTGAGAAGGACAGAAGTTGTTAAGAGACCAGGCAAGTGTCTTTCTGTTAGCTGAAATGGTATTTAAATTGATTATATTTGCAAGACTGCTAAACTTCAGAGCAGCCATTCTCTAGTCTCTGAAGACTTCAGATCTTCATTTACTTGACTAAAAAACTCACCCATTGTTTGGTGGTTCCATTTAAACATATTTGTCAGAGATGTACTGATGCTTCTTCAATGGCAGTAGGTTTTACAATTATTTTTTCCCAATTTTTGCAGCATTTTATTAATTTTGATGAAGTTCTATATTAGATTTTGAGTTTACACCTCAAGTTGAAAGTGTAGCCCTAAAACAGGATGAAGCAAGCCCCAGTATGGTGAGGTGAAATTGTCAACTGGCGGTTTTCCATGGCCTTTCTTAATTCCTTGCTGTTACTAACAAAAAGCTGGAGTACACCCCACAGAGAATAAATCCTATCTTTAGAAGAGCAGGTCAGGGCTCAATCTATGGATTTTTATAGAAGTGAGGAAGAGCTAGCAACACAGTAACCAAAATAAAGAGCTAGCAGGAGTCAAAAGCCCTTTTCTGATTAACATGGCATTTCCTCATTTCGAAATCGACTGATTTAGTGACACGCATGAAGGGGTGCAAGCCTCAAACAGCAGAAATCTGTTTGCCTTAGTAAACAAAAAACCTAAGTAAATGAATACAATTAAATACAAAGAAATTTGTTCACAGGAATCTAAGTCCATTAAAAAAAATTAAAAACACCAGAAAAGCTCCAAAAAAACCCATACATTATATGCAAATAAAAAACTAATTGTTAATTGTTTAAATTCTCATTTAAACAAAACTTCTTTAAAATAAACAACTTTGCGTGCAACCCCTGGGCAGAGTCCATGTCTCAACCGCTGGCACTCGGACTGTTTGCAAAGCGCTTTTCTTTTCAGCCTCAGAACCAGAGCTTCTGTTTCCATGACAAAAATTTAGTTCACCTGAATCTTATTCACGTTTTTTAGATCTTCCACCACCACCCGACCCGCCCCCCGGTCAGGGTTTAAGGCAGCCCATCGCGCCCGGCCAGCGCGGAGGCTCTGCCGAGAGGAAGGGCAGCTCTCTGGAGAGGCAGCACGCAGATGACACAAAGAGYTCCCTGGACCGGCCCGCTAGGACATCACTAGAGTGGCAGCGGCAAGCCCAGGAGTGGATAAGCTCTACAGACCGCCAAGAGGATTTCAGRAAAGCCCAACACAAACAAGCCTTCGGATCAGGTGTGTGTGTGCTGCTCGGCACCCCAGGAGTTGAGCGCCTGGCAGGGCTCTGGGGGCACCTCACACCCGCTGGAAAATGCAGAAAGGCAAAGTGGAATGGGAGCTTGTCATYCAGCTGTTTTCCCTCCTGCAGCAARGGAATCTCATTAGCACCTGGCTCRGTGCGCTCTTTSCAGTGTTTTGGAAATTAATAATGTTCTCAAGTGTAGCGATGGAGAAAATAGGAACAGTTTCAGGCCAGCAGGGAAGGAAGGAAGGAGAGAGAGAYTTTTAGAATATCTTATGTTAGGTGTATTTAATTATTATACAGGGCCATATTTTCCAGTTCTTTCAACCTGCTTCCAAGTCGGCAGCAGTYGTTTTTACACAAAAACAACTTGTCTGCAGCAAGGCTGATCCTTCTGAGGAGCTGATATTCCTTCTAGCTGTATTAAAAAACTCCTCTCTTCTCTTTATTCGAGGATGTGACAAAGTAGTGTTCGTCTCTTAAGCCCAGCAGTTTGACAGMGCATGTTTTCACCTTCATGCAGGGTCTGCACCTTTCCACTAGCTGACTTTGGAACCTAAATGGATTTCAAATCTGCAAAAATTTGCACAGGAAGTGATGCTAGGCTGGAGTTGTATTTGTACAATATTCACACTTTCCTTCTGTCAGCCTAACCTGAGTAAAAGCTGATGTTTCATCTTGGTCATCTTCTTTAAGCCATTAATCATCTCATCCCAGGGCAGTGCTGAATGGAGTGATACAAGAGGACAATTAAGATTTAAACAAAAAATTATACTGTCTGTGAAGCTTTTTCTAGGGTTACACTGTTTCTTCACTTATGTCTGTAGCTCCCACAGTCATACWAGAAGTACTCTTATCACCCATCTTTTTCCTGATTTTATTCAACTCTTAATGCTGCTTGTTAATCTAACACACTAATACCACTGACAGACTGACAAAAAACRTAGTAGTGCACAGGCAAACCTGTTGTGGGGACAGGATTTATTGAATAAAGTCCTCCAAGGGAAACTACTGCTACCTGTATTTAAAATGAAAGTATTTYAAATACAATCAATATTTTAAAAATAACAATAATAGTACTGTTAAAACCCTCTAATATATTGGGTGCAGAAACAAATGAGTGTCTATCCATGTTCTGAAATCATGATGTGAAGTCACAGTTTAAAAACGTGAATGTGAAATTCATGCTGCTTGGTGAAATGGCAATTTTAAGTGCAATGCATAAGATGTACAAACACGTAGAAAATAGCCCAAATATGCTCAAYGCTTCTCAGTTCCTTGGAAAATACAATTATTAAGGATGCTTCTCTGACCTGCTTAGCAAGAAGTCACTTTTTCTTCCTCTGCATCACAAGTGTACAAATAGAATTTGTCATTTATTCTGTGATGCAGAGCTTACACAGTAGTAAAATTCCCATCCTGCAGGGCATGCATTTATCTGTCCATAAATAAGGAGAGCTTGATCTTGACACTTCCAGTGCCCTACAAAAGCACTGAATATAGGACTGAAGTGGTTACAGGTATCTTGTTCTTGTCAAATTCAGGATGCCARGAGCAAGTGCATATCCTTTATGCATGAAAAAGGATTCCTCTAGGGGATATTATGAGTTTACACTGGTGTGAGGAGTTCATAAAGTTTGTGTGCAAGATGGGTCAGAACTTCATATCTGTCAGTCTGCATTCTCATTCCAGCCTCTTGCACTGCAGCTTTCTTGCTGTGCATTCTTGTCTCTCACAGATTTACAAAAGGCTGCTCTTGTGCATGATACTGGTTTATATCACTAAATTTGGGTGGTTTAATAATGTTAATTGTGCTTCTTCCCTTTTCCTTTATTAATGGCGTTGTTCTTTGGAAATCTATCCTGTCCCAGTTTTCAGTATATTTCCAAAAGGAGTTATTATTAGCTATCAGCTTCCAGAAAATAGCTAATTTGTGACTTAGGAGGTTTCATTCAGATGTTACCAAGCTGTGACTGAAATTTCAAAAGCAAGACCTTTAGTTTGAAGTTGAATAGAATAAAAATACCTGAGTCTGGGATCCGTGTTTCCACTAGTTGCTCTCAGTATAAATGTGATCACTGAGTTSCTGGCAGTGGCTTCAATGTAGAACTACAGTTACATCACTTCAAATGTGACATTGCCAGCTCCCACTCTGAAGAAAGTAATGCTAAATCAGGTTACAATAGTTTTGATAACAGGAAAAACCTTTTGATTATTTTATGGGGTATAGCAGCATTGTTAAACACACATATCCTGATTTCACAGGGGCTGGAATTRTATCTTATTAAAGGCTCAGTGTTTCAAAGAGAAAGGCACCAGCAAAACCTCCCCATATTCTTTGCAGGCCTGGACATGGAGCACTGTTTGGAGTATTTAATAAATGTGAGCCCATTCCCAGGACTGGAGACAACTACTTTTGGTGTGCTAGAATGTTGTGTAAAACCTAGCCTTTACCTTATGCCACAATTACTTTCATTATGGATTATRTTTATTTCTGAGGGCACAACAGATAATTTAATATACCATATGCTCCATAATGATAATGCACTTTATATTTATTCATGGTCATTTTTCCTCAATATTTCATTGAAGGAGGTCTTATCCTGAGTCCACAAGCTAGAAAAACAAATCAATTGACTATGTAWGTCATCTTCCAACTCTTTTGCAATGCTAGTGACTTTTATTTTCATCCTTTAAAAATGTATCCAGCTTTCTGCTAAACTGATTTATGGCCTTTGCTTTATTGTTGCCTTAATGCAAACTGTTTCATATTTTTGCCAGCCTTTGGAAACCAGGTTTGCATCTGATTCTATTGTTAGGTCTTGATATATAAAAACMAAGTAACATAATTTAGGAGTCTGTGGCTGTTAAATGCCATTTTACTCTGTCTTTCAAGCATTTCTTTTTATTTCAGCAAGAAGAGCACATGGTCAGGGTACAAAACACTGATAAAGCCCTTATGTCCTGCAGCACAAATATTCTGGTCCATTGGGCAGAGGCAGAGGGAGATACTTTGGCAGGGAAAGAAGTCAGCTGCCTGCCTTCTTCTGCAACAGATTTACCTTTCAAACAGGCTCAGTTCCTTGGCAGATAATGTGGGGAATCCCCACGTCCTACTCACTTGTGGCAATGGGCACAGAGTGAAATCCTGAGTTTCTTCCCCAAATTTGTTCTCACTAAGTTAATTGTGCCTCTGCTGCAGCCTTTGCAAAGGCTTCAACCTTGTGAATCAAAGCGTTTTTATCTCCTCTTTCTTTCCAACCATCCCCACCTACTTTTCCTCCTGTGTTCCTGCCCTTTGTCAAAGAAAAGAGTWTCTTCTCATCAGGTTGTTTAAGAGTGAAGACAATTGGAAAAGCAAAATAAAGAAAACCCTTTTGGCCTAGATTCCCTTTGGAAAAAAGGCAAGATCCAAGCAGTAGAAATCACACTGATTTCACAAGGGGCAATTGCTGTGTTTGAGGTTAGGAATATGTACTCATATTCTTTCTTGAATCAAACTATATTTAGCAATATCTCTTTCTTCAGCTTCTTAAATGGCAAAGGTGGATCATACACAGCAAAGAAATAAAATAGTGCTTCTATTTCAGTGTTAAATCAGTGCTTCTGTTCTGCTTCTTAGATTTGGGTTATTACAACAATATCTCCTGGAAACCCTAATCAGAAGTGATGTCTTGTTTTACTTCATGCTGTATGAAGACATACAGTTTAGTGCTTTATTGCTATTAATCCTGCTCTTGCAAGCAGTTCATTATTACAGGTCTTCCAGAAAAAGAATCCAAGTGAGCAAAAGTAAGCCTTTTGCTCATAATGGAATATGAAACAAGCTGCAGGATTATTTATTCACCCCAAGTAATACAACTATAGTGTATAATACAATATTTTCCAAAGTAATTCAAAACACCAGTTAAAAAAAAAATTGTCAGTGTACTTTGCATCCTTAGAAATTACTGAGTTGCTGGAAGCTAATTAAATTAGCTGATATTGTAGTTCTTTATCTAAACTGATTGGGGTAATGTTGCCATAATTTAAGCTAAAGAAAAGGTAAAAGCGCATTTRTGTAGGCTCAAAGCAAAAATCTAATCATAGCTTCATTGTTTTGGAAATTGCATGTTCACCTATTTTTATTAAAGTATCTATGATTCATGATCTGTTACTCATAATGAATCTAGACTTTTTATAATTAATACAAACTGACTTAGGAGTTTACAAGGAAGCAAGATTAAATTCATGCTGGCTTCTCTGTCCTTGGGATACAACTCCTAGTTGTGTATTTTCTTAGGTATAATTGTCATGCTACAAAGCAGGACAAAATACAGATATGAATGAATATGATGTGCATAAATGAATAGCTTGTATATTCCCATTTCTAGGACTTTATTGGTATTTATTTTGCTTTGTTTTGCTTTTCTAGAAGAGGCACTCGTACCRTATAGTAAACCCAACTTCCCATCCCCTGGTGGCCACAGCTCTTCAGGAACATCTTCTTCTAAAGGATCGACTGGACCTAGAAAAGGTGAAGTCTTGCGAGGAGGTCACCAACGCAATGCCAGTGACCTTCTCGATATAGGCTATGTGGGATCAAACAGTCAAGGACAGTTTACTGGTGAATTATGTAAGTCTATCTCTAGCTCCAGTTAAAACTCTCAAATAGATAAAAGAAATAAAATTACAAATCTGTTGTGAAGAGAGTAGGAAGTTGTCTCTGATGAGCAGATTAAGCTTTATSCAGATCTTTTTGCCTTCTGAGGTGTATTGCATGTGATGGCAAACAAATGYAGTCYCTCTGTYCTTTGGTTTGGACCAGTTTAAATCYSTGTAAGCCATGCCAAAGTTGTCTACATGCTACATCTCTCAAGGTGTAATGCTAGTGAAGCATGGGGAAAATTGATAAGCTATTCTAGTAACTTAGAAATTTTTTTGGCAAATTGTTGTGTGTTTGTCATGGAAATGCCACTAACAGATTTCCTCAGCCTTCCYCTTAATTTCCTGTTGCTTCATGAGAAGTATTCTCTTATATGGAAGTCCTGTTTTCTTGATTCTTTCCCCAGTTTGTCAGTTATGTATGTCCACTCTTTCCCTCAGCATCCCAGGAGAGGGAAATTATTTTCCAAATTTGTTTTCCTTTATCACTCAGTATCTGTTAAACTTTGGATAAACCCATGTTGATGCTGTGCAGTAGCAGATGCCCAAAGGTTTGACTCTGTTGTTTGAAGCAGTACATCCAAACCCTGGCGTGCTCAGGCCTCAGGCATGCCGGTGTGTTTAATAAATTTATTAATGGTAATAAGAGCACTGGAGCTGTTGGCATGTCTGCATCCTCTTGCTGCACTCAAACCCTCAGCAGCTCCCAGCATCTGCTGCCCAGTAGCTGTAAGAGAGCTGATGGTGAACCACAAGTCCTGAAATGTGCAGTCTCAGATATGGTGTTGGTAAGTSCTAAATTTTAGCATCCGTAGCTTTTCATATTAGAAGAATTAGTCCTCTTCTCACAGCCTATTGAATATTCATCCTGTGCTGCAGTAATATTGCCATAGGCTTTGTTTTGTGTGTTTTTTTTTCTCTTTATTACAACCTCTCTCTCTCTCTCTTTGTTTCTCTCTATAGAGTAGTTGAGAAGACACATTGCAARCTGCTCTGATGGACCATCAGGTCTGAACTCATGGAAGTGATGACACTAAACAGTGCAATGAACATTTTCTTTATTTATGTACTATTAAAAGAACTGTAAATGCAATGTAAAGACACACAGCCACACATATCCCACAGATACTTTACTTGTGTTCTTCTCTTTAACACACCATCCACCTTAAACTATTCCTTGTCAGGAGTATATAAAAAAAAAAAAAGAAAGAAAAAAAAATCACCCTCCAGGATGAAAAGGATTTCCTTCTGTATATAATTTCTTTTGTTGCATTGCTATGCAAGCTCACCTTCTTTTTAGCTATGTTCATATTCATGTCTGTTTTTACTGGTCTGTTGTACTATATGTGAATTAATAGGCTGTGGTGCCATATATTAACTTTTAATTGTGTAACTTTTATGTTTAAAGTTTGCACTGCAATTTTATTTGGTGATAAGCACAAAACTCTACTCCTCATGACATGAAGAAAAAAGAGACTGAATGTGTGAAGAAGGTTTACGTCCCGTAAGCTACTTTGGATGTGACGGAGTACGTTAGGTGGTTTTCCATTGGGGCGTAGAAATGAGAAAGTGACAGGCAAAACTGATGTCAGTGAAGACATTAGAGACAGATTTAAACCTTTTAAAAGCAAGCAACATAGTTGCTCTTCCTATTTAAGAAGGGGTCAGAAGTCAGAAGTGTGAGATTAAAGAGTGAATATGAAAACTAAAGGTAGCATGAGATGGCCTAGACCCTTTCACAAGAATGATACCCTTAGGAYCTTCTTTCAGCCATCCCATGCCACTGAGTAAAGGGGAAGAAAAACAAACCTTGCCTCAAAAAAAAAGAACTTTAAGGTGTTTCACTAAAGCTGTTTTTATTTTGCAGTTTAAAAGAATTACTACCATTAATTTCTCCAGCCCAAAATAGAGGACAGAGATTTTCCAGGAGAAACAAACCATATAGACACAAGGAATACCTAGYAAGAAGATAAGAATGCAATTTATTATTAAAGACATATTCAGGCTGCTTCCAAAAAATTGAAATGTCAGAGTATCTTATTTCATCTTTCCAATACATGTACAGTATGATAGAGGATAAAGCTGCACCACTGAAATTCATGACATTAATTGTTTTGATGCAGTCTACACAACCCTTTCTGTTACATACCTGAAGTCTCCAGCAAGACCTGAAGTTGGATCCACTAAATTTATAGTAAAATGTTTAGTGTTTGGAAGGAAAGCAATGGTCAAATCAATTTTGGCTTGCATTAAGTATATTTCTGGCAATACAATACATCCAAAAAGTTGGATATAAGCAAAGAAAGTCTTTGACCTATGTTTAAGTGAGTGGCTTCAAACTCTAGTATGATGAGGAAATAACGCATGTTTATACACTTTTTGAATAAACCTGACTCTGTAAGTGGACATTAATGACAGCATCCTGTCTCTTCATTAATTTTCACAACTTTGTCCAAGTCTTCTGTACCTCTCAAATCTCCAAGAGTGAATTCTCAAGCTTTTCTTACAATATTGTATGTGGATTACCCACTCATTACTTTGATGCTGAATTTAAATATTGCATCTTACAGCTTATTTCTGTTAGTTATCTGACCATGAACACAAGTTTCCATTGAATACCTTTTTCATATAACCAGTCTATGTTGTTTTATATATTGCCTTGGAGCTCACCAGTATTAAGAACACTTCTAGTAATGGCAGAAATTTAGAAAAGTAAATTATGATGCTAAATATGTGTTGCTTTTCATTTCATTAACTTGTTCCATGATAAGATAAAACACTACAGTCATCAACTATAACTCAGCACTACTGAATATTTGAAAAATGGTAGTTAACTCCCTTTAAGGTCAAGACGTGTTAAGTTGCAAACAAAAAAAAAGTTGAGGAAAAAAAGTATAAATTTATTTACATATGTGACCGATGAGTATATTTCATTTTCTTGCTTGTTAAAACACCATATTTAAAATTATTAGTTAAAAATGTGCAAAAATGTTCAAGTAAGATAAAGAATGCAGCATAATTACCTATATATGGTTTTTATTTTGGTATTACCATCTGAAGAGAAGACTATTCAGAGTACAATTCAAATTTAATTCTCTGGAAAATGTTTAYCTCAGTCACCAGTAATTGTTTTTTCCCCGGTTAATTCAAAAGTTTGTGCTGAGCTTTGGTGGAACACCTTACTCACTCTATTCTATTCAAAATTCAGTACCATTAGAGGTTGATAAAGCCATTCCAATTACTTTCAAATATGTGTTTTATCTCTTCCACTGGAAAGTAAATGTGTGTCAGTATTAAAGCTGTGCAGTACCATGATGTTCACTAACTTGTCCATCTGCTTCTGTACATTTTTGTTCATTAATAATTTGCTTACAATATTACATAAGGTGTTGTTGTGTATGGCAAAGTGTCTCCATTATCTTACAGGTGATGTCTCTTCTTTTTTTTCCTCTCTCTCTTTTCTATACAGTGTACTTCCAATGAACCACAGTACATATTTTTTAAAATGCCATTTAATTTACTATTTTAAAAGAAGTATTCTTCTTTTTTTAAAAAAAAAATGAAAACATTTATTGTGAATAATGTGTTTAAAGAAAAGGGATGTTGTGGCAGCACTTAGAATTGTTTTTTAATTTGTTTTTTTAAAAAAACTGTTTATTGGCTACCGTTTGTTCACGAAAAAAGTATGACCTCTTAATGTGTTTCATTGGTATTGTTAGTGCAGCAAAGTTTAATTGGCATAAGAAGTTGGTTAATAGTACTGTTGAAGTGTGTATTGTATATTTACTGGGGAAAAAATAAAACATATTCACATTTCAAATCTATGTTAAAAGGCCTTGAGTAAGGAGTCAATATGTGAAAACCCAAACGGAAAATCAGGCAATAATAACATAGACTGAGCTATAATCATCACTGTCCACTTACAGGTGACAAGGAACATTTTGTACGCTATTTTTTGAGCCAGTGGTAAACATTGCCTGTGCTAGGGGTTTGTGTTTGATGTCCTGTGTGCACTGGGAGCAGCTGTACCAATGTCCTTGCACTGATACAGCTCTTCCAGTGAATATTCTCTTTGCAGCTGTGCTCCCTCAGCATGAGGGAAGGACTGCAGGGGCACAGCTTGCTCTGCCTAAAGCCCACAGAGTTGTGGCTGTGTAAAACCTGCTCTGAACCCTTGGGCCTGGGGTTTGGTACTGGTGGAGCTACTGCCAACCCAGTACAGAATAACCTCAAAATGTATGGATAAGTGCTAGGTCAATTTTTCTCAACCTTTGCATTGAATACATGCTCAATTTTAAATGCAGGAGGGCTGAAGGACCAAATGATAAATTGTTCCATGTGCTTCAGTGGTGTATTGCTGTATGGGCAGCCATTTCAGTGATGCAAAGAACAGACATTTCTTTTTTTTRTTATTTCTTTTTTTTATATTTTAAATTTTTTTTATTTCCCAAGTGTGTATCCAAGTCAGTAACTCTTTAGAATTCCTTTCGGTTGTCACCTGAAATGCAACAGAAACACCGTTCCTTGGGAAAAGCACAAAAGATAAGGTTCATGGAATGTTTTTAARTGTATTAATTTAACTAAACACTGGTGCAAAAGGAAGGCTTGGCTGTTTGAAATAATTCTGTGCTGGTTTATGCTTGCCTCAGCCCATACATTGTCAGCCATGAGAAGAGGCGTGTACTGAGGCTGAGAAAGAGCTCACAACTGAAAGAGGAAAGGAAATAGGGTTGGGGGAGATTTTGGCAGGAACTTCCATTTAAAAAAGAAAAAATTACAGGCAGCTCCTTTGGCTTGTCTACAGTTTATGCAGTTTGGGGTTTTTTTATGATTAATGGCTTGGGGAAATTTAGCAGGGGAACTAGAAAGAAAAAAAAAATGATCTTCTTTTATAAAGATTGGGGGGACCTTGTTTGCTGAGGGGAGGGTTTTTTAATTTCTTTTTTATTTTTTTAACACATGTTTTGTGTTCCATCTATCTGGAACACATTAGGTAAAAAACAAATTGTTTTTGTAAACCATGTAGGCAACAGACAATTCATTTAGGAGGCATATTCAAAGAGCATGAAAACGGGAAAAACTAATACTGAAATAAGGAGCAYATACTGGTTTAGAATTGGCTAAGTCCTCCACAGTTTCACATGCAATTTTGAAAAGTATAATGACATGTATAAACTGGTTTTGATTGCCATACCAAAATGAATTATCCAAAGTCCACAGGAGGCCTAGATCCTCGGGACACTGAATCTGGTGCTTTATTTTAAATATTTTAAATATGTGGTGAATCCAAGCTGATGAGGCTGAAGTATGAGAGTCCCCAGCTCTGGCAGCTCAGACCCCAGGGAGTGTCCAGCTGGGAAGCCCTCATGGCTTTAGGCTCAGCGTGTTTCTGTGGATCCCAGGCAGGTCAGGATGTAGAGGAAGGTCTCTTCTCTGAGGATGGAGTTTTCAGGGCAGGGAAGATCTTCAGTTACTGTGGTACCGTGGTGGTTTGCATTGTGACCTCTTAGACAGGCACGTCTCACATTTTGGGCCATCCTCCCTAATTCTCATCTCAGTGCATTCCTGCTGTGGTCTGTGCACTCAGTGCTGTTGTTGTTCCCTGGATCTGGGGTGTCTGGCATGGGACTGCAAGAGCAGAAGAGCTGTGGAGGTGCTCTGCATGCTCTGAGTGGCCAGATGTGKGGATAAATGCTGTGTTGGTTCAGGGGGAGCAGGGAGCACCGGAGAGCAGGGACACCAAACTGCTCCTCTGGCTTGTCCTCTGCCCCTCTGCAAGACTGACCTCAGTCCTGCCAGCACTCCCAAATTGRTGGATTCAGCTCACAGATATCCCCTGAGATCCAGAGGAGATGTAGGGCYGTGCTCACGAGCACAGGAGGTTATTTGAGGAGAGGCAGCTCTGAGTTCTGCGGTTGGTGTGAGGACCGGATTCCTCTCTACCCTGCCCTTATCTAACTGTGGAGATACATCCATGGAGATCCCACCAGAAAAACAAATGCCTGGAGCAGAGCTCAGCATTGTAGCATCTCCTGGCATGTGACTCCTTAGTCTGTTGTAGACAATCCTGGGTTCTCTGCTGAATTCTCACCATGTGCTGAGGACTCTGATGCCTCATGACATCTAGGCCAGTGAGRTGTCTACTCTTGCTTTAGCAGAATGGACCAAAAAAACAAAAGCCCCCAAAATCTAAACCTTTAATTTTAACACAAACCTTTTAAAACAATCCTCAGAAATCCTAGAAAATAGCATTTCAGATGCACATTTGACAATTTTGTTTTTCTTTTTCTTGGTATTTTATTTTGGCTACCCTTGAAATGATCGATTTATTTTTTTTTTTCAGAGCAGTTACACTGTCCCTGCACCCCTACCCCCTGCATTTTCCAGTACTTATCTTCCATCTGTAAAGAAGTTAYGGTAGAGAATTATGACATTTGTGTACTTCCATTGTTCTAACTTTGAGCAACAAGGTGCACAGTTGCATTCAGTTCAATTGATCAAAGCCAGATGGGCACAAAATGTTTGTGGGTTATTTCTTKTCTAAAAAGGCCTGCTACCACTTGTGCTGATATTTGTTCCCCATTTATGCTGATCAGTGCATCTTTTGCCTTTAAGGATGCCATTAGTAACTCTCCTTTGTGTTCAAAAGCAGGAATCCATTGTGCAGCACTTGGAGAGCCACTCGGATGCAGGTAAAGAATATAACAGCTTGAGCAAGTGCTAATTAGAACCAATTAAAGTTAATTGACCTCCTTTGGCAGTAAAATGCATAATAGAACTTGCTCTGTCCTTGCAAAATGGAGATCTTGCCTCTAAGCTGAGAGTGAAGCAGGGTTTGGTGCAGCAGCCTGGAGTAATTATGTGGGTATAACAACCAGGAAGCTGCTTGCTACAATTTGTTCTAATAACTGAGCTCTGCTGTATCGGGGCAGCACATTAAAAGTGAGATTTCTGCTCCAGTCTATTTAAAAACCTAATTTTTACAGAGCAMATGAGCATCCCGAGGTACTGATACTAATCTCTAGGAATGAGTTGGCAGAAAAATAGAGTCCCTTTTATAGGTAAGTAATGGTGTGAGCATAAAAAAAATCCCACAGTTACTGGCCTGCTGGTTGGAAAGAGCCCTGAGATACTCAGAGTTTGCATCTGTCCTGAGCAGAGGGGTGAGCTGGTGCTTGGTCTGGGTGAAAGATCTGCCCACAGATCGGGATTCCCCACTGGACCTTGCCATGGGGTCCCCCTGTTGGAAAAGGGGCAGTGGCCTCCATCAGCTGAGGTTTGTGGTGCTGCTGGACTGCACCACTGCCACTGGTCAGAGGTACCCAGAGGGAAAGAGCAGGGGAAAGAAAAAATGAAGGATAGGAAATGAAAAATTGTATGAATGCAAAAGCATCAGTGGTGGGTGCTAAACTATACATCGCTGTGAAATGTTGAAAAGCCATTTTTATTAGCCAACCAGAATTGATCCAGTTTCTGTGACCATGCTGTGATGACTTTTTGCTTGGCAGGAACTGAATGCGACTGATTTTGCTGCTAACTTGGCCTTACTATGAACAGCAATAAAGGTGTTAGTCAGGTGGGGACTTTGATGTGACCAGTAACATCACTCTCCCTTCAGGGAATGTTCTGTGCTGGCTTGTTAATGAATTTCTTTCCTAATGAGTATCATTAAAAACCCTTTGATTAGCTATTTGTGTGAATGCCCTTCCTTTTTCTTACTTGCACGAGTGGCAGCAGGATTTTGCCCCAGGCAGAAAGCACGAAGCTCTGTTCCTCACCTCATGAATACAAGTCTGAGGCAAACAGCAACAGCAAAGAGGGTGAAAAAAAAAAAAAAAAAAAAAAAAAATAAAAAAAAATAAAAAAAGACCTCACGGATGAGTTGAAGTTATTTTCTACACATGTACGACCTGAGCAGGCACCAGCATTCAGATGGGACTGTCATTAGGGGAAATGAAGAGCAATAGGTGGTGATGCTGAAGCATGCAACAATAATTTACATACACCTCGAGTGCCAACAGGCAGAGAAACAAATAAAGCTATAACCTGGGGAGAGGCAATGCCAGAGAATAAATGGACCGCAACGAGCAAACAAAAAATGCCATGTCATAAAATGTAGCAAAAAGCGTGGAAAACAAAATTAAAAACAAAACAGGGCATTTCAGATCCAAGGCCCCTTAATGAGATATTGATGGCACAGAAATTGCCTACTCCTATGCAAGACAAAAGAAGACTGAGAAACACAAAAACAATTAGGAAACAGATTTGGCCATCTAAGGTTTAATGGAAAGAGATGTGGCATAGCAGAGTACAATTAATCACCAATTGCCTGAAACACTTTCCTCTCCCAAGCTACTGCAGACCTGTCTGCCCTGCTTCCAGTCTGAAAATGACAGTCACCCCCATCCAGTCTGTATTAGAAAGAAACCTCTCTGCCTTTCCTTCCCCAGTCTCTCAAATYTCCCAGTGAACTGCAGACACTGATAAATATTTTGTGTTTACTCTGGTGTCACTGCCTTCAAACTATCTTCAGCCTGTCCACCCCCTTCTTCCTTCTCTTTTCCCACCAGGCATAAAATTCATCTGCATATTTTGTACCTTGTTGTTAGGCATATAATGAGACTTTTCTATTTTTGTCCTCGTTTGCCCGGAAAGCTGTCTCAGACACGTCACACTTAGGGATGTGTAAAAGTTGACTTTATATTAGATCTATGTGGAATATGAGGTTTAAGTTTAAACTGGGTCACTGGGTGCCTTTAGAGCATTTGTAACTGAGGCAGAGCCACTGATTGATGAGTGCTGATCTGAGTGGCTCTGAGTATGCAGAGCCTGAGAAACTGCAGGGGAATGATCACAGCTGCGGAAAGATTTCGGCCGTGTCGCCACCCATGCCCGCYGTGCCACACGAGATTCCTGCATGCACAGGTTCTCAGCAGCACAGAAATGCACCTCAAAACAGTAAGTAACCCTGAGTAGTGGTGACCTGCAAGTAAACCCTGGGTCTGGTGAAATCTGTGGTGAAATTTCAGTCTTTTCTTTAATCGAGATGAAGGATTTCTTTCTGCAATGTATGAGCAGATTTTTGCCTGTCGAAGGACTGCCTTTCTACTCTGTGCACCTTCCAGCCCTAGGACATTCCACATATTCTGATTTTCTCTACACCAGTGTTTGGGTACATAAAAACCTGTTTCCAAACATGGGGCTTCAAATTCCCTTCCCTTATAGTCCATATGTTCTTTTAGATCTTTTGGGGGTTACACAAATCCCAAGTGTTTTCACAAGCACTTACCACTAAGAATATTAAAAAAATAACCCTTTCCATATTTTCATATACTCTGCAATCTCCTCCAGAACCATGAAAGAGAGCAGATAATGAATTTCAGCTTTTGATTGCTGATATGCTACACTTCCGATTTCACTGAGGGATTTAGGAGGCGTGATTTTCACAGAAACTGATGTCAATTAGTTAATTGGAAACTAACTGTAAAAATACTAGACCTGTGAGATCTGGTAAGTTCCCTTGTATTCAAGCTGAGAGTAAAACGTTTCAGTACTTGTACAACTGCTTTTTCCTTAATTAATTGGATCACAAAATTATAACATTTTGTAATATTTCTGGTGGGTTTGTCTGGGTGAATAAACTTCACTTTGAGTTGCTCTGATCAGAAATTCTTTTTGGACCAAAATATGGTCTTTTGTGGTACTAGTGAATCTCACATGCTTTTATAGCAGTAGCAGCATTCTTGGAAGGAAAAAAAAAGTTAACAAAATCCAGGTAAACTCAGCACCCAAGAGTGAGTGCTGGAAGTTTCCCTGATTCTGTCTGYATGTCATATCCAAGAAATGTTTGTTTTGGCAGGGATGTCTTTGTGCCTGCCCTGGCACCTCATTGGTGACACTCAGAGCTGGAGCAGCCATGGGAGTGGAGGGCAAGGAGAAGAAAAGGAAAGTGAGGGGTGAATAGAAGGTCATGCAGTATGTTAACAAGTTTTCAGGACTAAAAATAATTCTTTATTTTTCCAGACAGTTCTGTAGCACATTATGGATCTAGTACACAGAAATACTCCTTTTGCCCACAGCCCATTCTCTTTAGATTTGGATGAATTTAAATAGTTGCTCAGAAAAGAAAATTTCAGAAAAAAACCCTTATGTTAAAAATCAAAACAATGTGGGTCTGTTCTCAGTGCAGGCCTCTGACTATCAATATTAGGATGTGTCAGTGAATTGATTGTCATTCGTAAACTGTTCCTAGTGCTGACAATAATAATGACAGAATGCTCTTAATTGGTCCCAGGGAACAAAAAAAGAGACAAAAAATTCTCCCTTTTTTTGTATGTTAAATAGCTGCATTTTTTTCTCCTACTACTCAATATTTTCATTGTAGTCTTAAGGGTGTTTTGAAGCATCTTATGCTGTTCACTTCCTTAAATCCATTTATTAAACTGAATGTTGTTGAGCATGAGGCTGACATTTGGTGATTCTTACGCAGTTTCTAATAGCTGCAGGGTGCTCATTTTTGGAAGCAGTTTTATGATGCTACAGAATGTCTTCTCTGCTTTTGCTGGCACATATCATAGCTAGAGCTGAAGCTGGAGCTGTCAGGACAGCATGTCTCTATTTAGCAGGCCATTGTTTGTCATCGAACAGATATTCTTGGAGTTTTTTCAACTGTGGCATTGTTGCCAACGGTTAAAATTTCAAAGCTTCATAAATGACTGTGCACAGGAAGATGAATCCAGCTGGCAAACTTTCTACTTTTACGATTTTTGTAAAAGTCATCAACAGGGGAGCCAATAATTTTCACTCTCCAATGAAGCCTTCATTATGGAGCATCTGAAACCTTGTTATGATGGGGATGAATTTGACATTATATCTGCRGTTATGTGCTCACACATCTAGGAGCACTCGTACAACGGGAATTGAGCACCACAAAGAGCCTCTGGAAACAGAGGAAATAAATTTTCCTGTGTGTTCATACACTGTACAGGTTTAGGGAGGTTCTCTCATGTTATTTGCCAGAATCTTCTYATTTTAATTCCCTGGTGTATAAAACCTGGCAAATGTTAGCACCTGTAATGAGCTCAATAAACACAGTCTACAGGGATGAGAGCCATGTATGACATGGAAAAGAGCTGGTCACTCCATAAAGGGCAGCTGCAAAGGAAGGCCAAGTTAGCCCCAGACACCTTCTGTGTTTGTAAGATTTAATTTGAGATTTTGTCTAGGCACAGATTCGGAAATGCTTGTCAYTGGTGGTCAAGACCTGCAAAGAACMGCTACGTTTAATTATAAGGTTATTGTGTTATAATGGTGTCRTAACACTTGAAGCAGCCATGGTAGCTGTTGTTTCATCATTCTTCAGCATTGATTTTTTATTCTGAAATTAAATTATTACAACTTTGACCTGCTAGTTGAATCTGTGATATTGAGGAAATAGTAACTTTTTTCCCTCTGTTCCTCTTCTTTTTTTTTTTTTTTT